ATAAAGACAAAAACTTAATTGAAACACCTTTCAATATTCAGTTTTCAGTTCAATTTTCTAGGTTTCACTGCATTCTATGAACACTGAATTATTTCAAACTTGGGACACGTTGTTACAATTGTTAATAAAATATTAAGCAATTCCTGAAATATAAGAAACACTTCAGATACACTAAATACATATGAATGAAAATAGACGTAAACAGTGGGATGATCCATATAAGAAAGCAATTTCAGACTGTTGAATGACTTCAGTCATGCAGTCAATTCAGCTACTAAAATGAGATGCTATTACCGGTAAGAAAGATAGGTAGAATGAGAAGTTCCTTTTAAATATGTTTCATGAATCAAACGGCCTAGTAATATAATCTCATAAGGAGAATAGGAAATTCTTAACATCTAGGTCCTTTACTGTTTTTTCTTGTTTTATGTTTTAAACATTTTTGATATATAACCTAGAAACAGTGACCTTTATTTTTTTCTTCCACAAAAATTCAACATATCAGCAGAAAACAAAATTGTAATTTGAAATTTCTAGTTCAGGGCCAGACATACATTGTTCTTGTAATGAATCAGATTATTTCAACTTTGTCACGATTATGTACATGTTCCTTTAAGTTTCTCAGAACACTACGCTTCCAGATTACTAAGTGGTAACCTTGTAAACTCAGTTAAAAGAAGCACAGAAAATCTATTACACTTAATTCCACTAGAAGAAAAAGAAGTTTGATTAACTGTAGTGTTTAAAAAGTATCATATTTCTTCCTTTTCTTAAAGAAAATTTGTGTAAGGACTGACTCTCATTGAGGAAAAACAAATCAATAATGAATTTTTTAAAGAAAAAAATATAAATTGTAGAAAAAAAAGACACTCAGATTCCTTCCATCATCTAGTTTCACAATTGCATTCATGTTCTATCTATCTGCATTATCTATATATATCTTTGGGATTAACTCAGGGATTAATAGGGACCGTGTTTAACATTTTGTTGATCTGTCTGATGTCTCAAAATCTTTGAAAGATTAAAACTCTATATTATCCTACACGTTGATCTTCCTGAAAGACAGTATAAAATATTTCATACAGACTATGCAAAAGGCCTCACTGGAGTAGGTTCAAATACTAACTGCCTCCCACTAACTCCAATATTTTATGCAGTACTTTATTTCTGTGCAGTTTTCACAAAGAGTAAAAATAAATTGCATCAATACACACAAATGTATTTGCTGAAACAATGTATGGGCTGCAGGAAGTACTAGGTCTGTACTGTTAAGTTCAGTTACCCATCCGTCTCACATGATTTTGTAGTTCAAACGCTTGCAAAAATTTCAAACAAAAATCTAGGACTACTGAAAATTTCACATATCCAATAATCACTAGAGATAACATAAAGGCCTAAGGAAGCTTGTGAGTGAAATAAAAATTGCCATTTTGCTTGGGTAGGTTTGAGACACACAGAAATTGTTTCGGTTCTGAGGGAGACAACCAGCTGCTCAGAGGATTCATTCACCTTAAGGTCACTGGTTTTCGTTCAACTTATGACAAAAGTAATTGAAAATCATTGTGGTTTAAAAACTGTATCAGGGAAAAGTTATTTGCCTCACTCTGGTTTCCAGGTGGCAATATTCACATTACATTGACACTTACCACATGTCCATCTAAGGAGGGAGGTTAGAAGGTGAAGAGGTCTCAAGGCAGAAAGACAAGTCTTTCCCCAGTGTTGGCTGCAAGGCGTGGCATTTGCTATGGGGAATGTGTCCCTAGCTATTGCCTCTGATGTACTTAATACAGAAATAAATAGGGTTGAGTTTGTAGACAGGGCAATCAACACCTGATAAGTATTTTATCTACTTTCTTAAGGGGACTCATGTTTTTAGAGATACAAAAGGGGATGCAATTTCGCATATTTTAAAATTGTGAGGTATAATTTACATGCTATGAAATTCATCTCTGTTAAATGATTCAATGATTTGGAGGAAATTTATAGAATTGTATAGCCATTGTTTCACCTATCTTAGATTTTCCATGGAAGAATGTACAGGAATAGAAAATCAATTAAATTCTTTTTTTTTTTTTTTTTGGTCCGGTCATGGGCCTGAACTCTGGGCCTGGGCGCTGTCCCTTAGCTCTTCAGCTCAAGGCTAGTGCTCTACCACTTGAGCCACAGAGCCACTTCCGGCTTTTTTCTTTTTGCTTATGTGGTGCTGAGGAATCGAACCCAGGGCCTCAGGCATGCAAGGCAAGCGCTCTACCACTGAGCCACCTTCCCAGCCCTCAATTAAGTTCTTAAAGAAGGTAATATTGATGGTCAAGTGGGGATAGAGACAGAAGATGGAGAGGAGTCAGAGGAGGGCCTTCCTTGAGCACTAAAGACATGTTTCACCCAACAAAGAAATCATCTTATAAATATGTTAGAACCAATCGCATGAAAGAAAAAAACATTTGAATACTTATCTTGGGGTTCATTTCACCTAACATCAACTTATCTGACCTTTTCTGCTTGTCTCAGACATACAGTAGTTATTGCAAATAAGGGAAACCATGGGGCCTATATTTCTATGGGCCTGGCTTACTTCACTTAATATAATTTTTTCCAAGTCTTTCCATTTCCTAACAAATGGGGCAATGTCATTCTTTCTGATGGAGGAATAGAATTCCATTGTGTATATATACCGCATTTTCTTGATCCATTCTTCTACTGAGGGGCATCTGGGTTGGTTCCATAGCTTAGCTATGGTAAGTAATGTTGTTGCTTTGTATGTCCCTCCCCCATGGTATGACCCCTGTTTTCACTGTTGGTATAATTTGTGGAGGGGAAGGGAAAAAACAAATCGTTTAAATAGGGATACAGGTGGACCCATTGCAACAATGAGATGTACAAGTTGTTATGTCGACAAAAGAACTTTACAACTTTGGTGGGGGGGGGGTATAGGGGACAGAGGGGGAGAATGGAAAGGCATAGGAAGGGGAAACAAAGGAGGAGGCAACAATGCTTGATAAGAAATGTACCCATTATTTTGCCCATGTGATTGTAACTCCTCTGTATGGTATTTTCACAATAAAAAAAAAAAAAGACATGTTTGCCCAATGTTAATTCTTTTGCTTCTTCCAATTTAGAATGAACACTTTATATACAACTAGGACTTGCCTTACTCACCATTTATCTGCAGTACATGCACATGAGAACTTACATACGTGGTACGTCACTAAAACTTGAATGTGTGCTCAATGTTGAACATAGCAGACTATTTCTGAACTTGTGGATATAGCCTTCTGAAGGACAGTTTAATAAACACTTGAATCCCCCTTAATGTTTTGTCATCCATCCCACAGAAGATGAAATAAGAGGATGTTGTAGAATCTACTTGGCAACATAGCAGAGGATTCTGAAGTTAGTTGACATTTGTAATGAGATCTGATTTAAGGATGGGAAAGAACTAAGTCTCTTACAGGTCAGGGAAAAGAATTTATAGCAGAGTACAGCAAGCAAATGGTCTCATGAGGCCACAGAGCTCACTGAGTTCTGGGAATAAGAGTGACTCAAATGTAGACAAAAGAGAATGTGAAAAGTGGATGGATTCTACAAGCCTTAACAGGAAATGAAAAGTTTTGTTTTACTCTGAGATAGAGCCAATTGAAAATTATACCCAATTATCAGTATCAGCACTACCTGAACTTGTTAAAAATGCAATCTGATGATCATCCCAAAACATGAAACACGATATCCTCCTGCTTCTTGATTTAAAATTTGAGAAACATTGGGATTGTGGCCTCTAAGAGTCATGATGGCAGAAAGGATGACCAGTCTGGTGTTAGAGTGTGTATTTCAGCAGCCAATAGAGGTTTCTCTGCCACCAATGGGGATTCAGTGTGAGCTGATACAAACCTGCAATTCTGGAAAAAAAAATAAAGGTTAGGTTTCTAGATCCAGGATCTGTGGGTGTCTTGGTTTGAAGTGTGTGTGTGTGTGCTTTTTATTATTTATTTATTCATTTTGACAGTGCTTTTCATATTAGGAGGTGATTTTTTTTAATAGGAAATGAGGTATAATTACGATTTCTCCATCGCGACTGAGTTATGTTCAAGCATGTTCAGTTTCTATGCACTACCCAGCTGGGAGTTGGAGGGTTCACTTTTCCTACAATTCTGTATGAAAAAACAAAAATAAACAAAAAACAACCATGCAACTAAAAGCAAGGAAGTTCTCAAGTAGGAAGTTGGCCCAGATGCAAAGAAGCCTGTTGCTCTATCCCTGTGACTGGCAGAGAATCTTCTCTATTATCACCAGAACTTACAAAGACTGTACCAGAGGACTGCATTCCCCCCCCCCCCCCCCCCGGTTCTTTTTTGACTGTATGGCAAAAGTTCTTCACAAGGATTCAGAAAATAGAACCCTAACAGTGGAGTTTCAGTGGGATTCAAAATATTCTTTTGGTTAACTTCATCAGACAAGGAGCAGAAGCTGAAAAGAGGCACACTGCCCCAGGGCAGTGACAGTGAAGTCCACAGCACTTCTCTGTTTGCACTGGCCCGTCCTCCTCCCTGTGAACTGACTTCATTTGTGTCATTGTCCCAACACCTCCCCCCACCCCCCAACTATTTTATTAGAAGGTGTCTTCCAAGAAAGTCATCTCCATGACCATCCATCGGACCCAGAGGGGCCTCAGCCTGAGATGCATCTTCTAGGGAGAGAAGCCAAGGGGGGGCCGCAGGGGAGAGGCTCGGGGAGGAGGAAGGGCGAGGTCAGCCGCCGGCCCGCCCTCCAGGGTGGCCTCCAGGGAGGTGGTGTGATGGGGGAGGGCGCAGGGCCGGGCGAGGGCAGGACGGAGGGCGGGCGGCGGGGGGTAGGCAGGCCCGGCCCGGCCCGGCCCGGCGGCCTCCAGGTGCCGGCCGCGTGAGGAGGCGGGGAGCGCGGCGCCGGCCATCCACTCGGGACGTGCATCCGCGGATCACCCCGCGTCCCGCTCCTCCCGCCGGCGGGGGGGGGGGGGGGGGGGAGGAGGGGCCGCGGACCCTTCTCACCGGCTATAAAAGGCCCGGGGGCGCGGCGGCTCGCCCAGGCTCGCCGCCGACTCCGCCCTCCACACGGACCGCGAACTCCGCTTCCCGCTCGGGCCCCACTCGACCCTCTCGGGCCTCGGCTACGCGGGCTGCGGCGGAAGATGGCGGCTCCGGTCCAGGGCTCCGAGGGGGAACTGGCTGCCGCCCTGGCCGCTGTGCCCGAACTAGCCCGACTTCTGGAGAGCGACCCGTACCTGAAGCCCTTCGCCAAGGACTTCCAGCGCAGGTACGGTCGGACCCCTTCCCTTCCCTGCCCTCCACCGCTCGCCTTCCGGGACGCGGACTCCGCGCTGCCGCCTAGGCCTCGCTTTGCCCCGCCCCTGCGCGCCCCCGCGCGTCCCCGCGGCGTAGATCCCTTGGTGGGCGTGGCCTCGGGGGGCTGGGTGGTGGATTTGAGTTCTGGGCATCCACAAGTCGCGGGCTGACTGCACCGAGTGGGCGCCGAGGCCCGGGATAGACTCACGGCTGCACCTTTCCCCCCGTCCCTCCCCGGGAGTGGTCTTGCGCCATCTGGTACGTGCGCACTGGCCCAACACCGCTCCCGCCCTGCCCTGTCCCTGGCTGGTGAGTGAGGCAACTCCTCGGTGCGCCTCTGACTTGTGCAAGCGCCCTTGCGGTCCGGTGACTTAACATGGGCTTGGCACGTTACGGTGTCCTTAAAAAAAAGACCCTTTGCAGCTCATTTAACAGTAGGTTCTGTAATTTAAAAAAAAAAAAAAAACCTAACAGGATTATTTCAGGCAGACAATATACTCTAGTTTTGGTGCTTCCTCCTAGGGAAGATTAAACTCCTCTCAATTTCCCCAACCTACACAGATTGATAAGTGAATGTACCGTAAAGTTGGTACGGTTTCCGGGAAGATGAAGCTCCTCTGGCTCTCCTCCCCTCCCCCTCCCCCAACACTGAGCGTAAATGCACAGTAAAATGTGTCATATTTGACAGTGCCCATCTGGAAGAGGGAAAATTAAGGAAATCCAGGCTTGGGGAAATCAACTCAGTAATGGCTTCATTTTAGCTTGATCTAGCTCCTACCACAGCTCAATATCCGGATTACCACACATTAGTAGAATTTAATAATTCTAATCTGCTCAGCTGAAAAGGTGTAGGTTTAAAAAAATTAGAGTAACTATTACATGACTTAGAGCAATTGGTTTGTGAGGTAAGTTCTTGGTGATTTACTGGTTTCTGCTCTTGAGGAGAGCCACTTCCAAATGAAGACTACCCTGGTCACACAATATACATACCATTTTTTTTTTTAAAGCGATGGAAAACATGTACCTTGTTAATGACATGAAGCAGCATTGGCAGTTAATTATCAAGATGGGTTGATTCAGAATTTGTAAGCACAGAATTCAACTTCTTGTTTTAGCACTGAATGCTATTACTCGTATTCACTTCAGGAAGTTTTAGGCATAAGAACACTCCTCTAGACACTGTAAAGGTATAAATTGTGTGCTTCTAGTTCCAGGGTTTACATAGCCCAATAAATGAGTCTTCCTTAAGGTATCCAGGTTGGGCTGACAATCACTTAAACCAGGTGATTACACCTTCAAAGTTAAGGGCTGAGATTTGATTTATAATACAAAAGATTTTTAGTGGAAAAGAAGATGATTAAAGGTGGTGGCCAGACTTTTTTTTGATGTGGTTATAACAATGACTCTATAATTTATTGTGTGCTGTGTAAAATGATCCATAAGACATTTCTAAAAGACAAATTGTGGAAATATTTTGTCTGACTCCTCCTTTATTGAATGGTCAAATCAGATAGCACTCTTTTGTTCAGTGTTTCTTTTATGTTCATCACTTTCTACTTCATTGGGGATGAACCAATTATTGTCATCTTTCATGGTTTGTCACAACTAAGGAGGAGGAAAAAGACTGGAATAAAGAAGCAGTGTAATCCAGTATTTTTGGTGAGAAGTCTGTTCCAGATAGGTCTTTATATTCTTCACTCTGACGTGGGTTCTACTTCTGTCCTTGGTTCTGAATCATTGCTATTTTCCAGCATACGTGTTCCATTTAAGCATGTCAAGTAGTAGTTTGGCATTTGGCATTAGTAACTTTTCTTGTTAACCATTGAAGAATTAAAGTTTCTTCCTGAATAACTGGTTCATGGTTTGAATATATCACTTCCAAAATTCAGATGTTGTCAGTGTAATATACAGAGTGGAGTTACCTTTAAGATATGATCAAACCTTACTTCTCCCCTAGTACCTCCCCACCCCACCCCCAACCACACCTTTTGAAGGGGTTAAGGGCTTATTTCATCCCTGATGCCTTGCTGCTATGCAAGGACACCACATGCCTGTCTGGAGAATGGAGCAACAAGGTGCCATCTTGGATGACACCTAGTGCATCCTTCTGCAGACAACTGAACCCTCTGGTGCCTTGCTTTTGGACTTCTAAGTCTCTATACTGTAACAAATAAATACCTTTATAAATTACCCTGTTTTAAGTAATAAGTAGGCTAACATGTTTGTTTTATTTTTCTTGACCTAACACAAATGCACAACCAGTCAATGATTTTGGTACAATATATGCTTACTAAGGACTGAAGGAAATTTGATGTACAAACAACAATATATAAGAATGATCAGGCAGAAGCAATTTTCTTCTTCTTAATGGGTGGTCTCAAACCAGTGCTTCTTCATTTCAAAACTTTTATATGTTTATTTTTCCCCACATTCTATAATGATTCTGCATCAAGTGAGAAGGTTTTAGTCAGTTACTTAAGTTCTAAAATAAAAATAATGCATTGGTTTGTGGTGGGACCTCCATGCTGATAGAATGCTCTAAGGATGATATTTGCACTTTGGTTCTGTTTTTCTTTTCTTTTCTTTTTTTTAATTTGTTATTTATGCTGCAGCTCATTTTAATTACTGTTTTAAAGCAAAGAATTTAATTGTTCCTATATTAACATGCCATTTTGAATAGCCAAAATTCTTTCCTGTCAGTAGTCATTGAAGGATGGAGGCTTATGAAGAAATTTAGAAACATGTTCCTACAATGGTAGAGGTAAGTAGAGAATTTGTTGAGGTGTACATTTTTCTTCAGTGTTTGCCTAACATTGAGCCCTTTGTGCTGACATATTCTGTTGGCCAGTGTAGATCAGTGTGCCTTGTGAGTTAACTGACTACTGACATTTGTAAACACTGTTCAAACAACACAATTTTATTGATTCTGTGCCTTCTGCTCCAAGTTTATATAACACTTTTTTATATATTATGATATTTAATCTTGCTAGCAAAACTGTGCTCATAACAAGCCCATCTTCAAAGCAAAAGCATGGAATAGACAGAGTGGGCACTCTTCCTGTTTTATAATTGGACGGAATGAGATTTAATCAAGTGGTTAGTATGGGTTCACATGGCTAATAAGTGCTAGAGCTGTGATTAATCTTTCTTTACTGACACTACTATGAACAAGTTCATCAACAACTTTCTGAAAGTTTAAAGACTGACTCTTCTTCTCTTTAGTATTGTACATTGTAGACTACTTCTTGGTTCCCTAAAGTCCTAATCTTTTTTTTCCCTTTAGCTTTTTGTTTTGACAGTTTCTTTTCTTTCTTTCTTTCTTTTTGATACTGAATATACTGAATAATTCTTGCTTAAATGCATGTAGATAATCTTAACCATTCTTTAGAATCCATCTCTTGAAGCTACAGGAATCTGCTTATCCCAAGATCTTTCTACTGATCTTAGAGCTAATTCTAAGTATCTTGATTTCAATCATAAATCAAATCTCAGCATGTCTGGGCACAAGTGACTCATGCCTATAATCCTAGCTACTTAGGAAGTTGAGATCTGAGATCCTGGTTCAAAGCCAACGCAGTCAGAAACGTCTGTGAGAATCTTACCTCTAATTAACTCTTCACCCTTCCCCCCCAAAAAAGAGAAAAAGCCAGAAGTAGAGTTATGACTCAAAAAAATGTTTAGAGATAGTGCATAGTTCCTGAATTCAAGCCCCAGGACCTGCACAGAAAAATAAAACAAAGAAAAAAACCTTCAGACATATGTAATTTAACATATTGTTGTTTGTTCCAGACTTGTGTGTTGTTTTAAATACTAGCTCAGTTCATGCTATCTACATTTACCAATGGTTCAGTCTTGAATGAAAGCATAATATTATCTCTTTTTTTTTCATCTGAGTGTCTAGGTACTTGTACCTTCTAAAAGTATGTTTCCTTCCCCATTTCTACTGTTACTGTATCTCAAGTCATTAACATATCTAGCCTTGTTTATAAAAACAGCCTCATACCTGTTACTCACTTTTCAAGTTTCCCCCGACACCACTTTTTCCAAATGTGTTCAGTCAAAAGCATGAGAAACAAAACAATAGAGAGAGACCAATTTAATCATGATATCCTTTTGCTTAAACCCTGTCAATTAATCTTTTTGCTAAGGTGCAGCTCATATTCACGGTGACCTTATATGGTTATATGGTTCTTATATAACCTTATATGTTTATATGGTCCCTGTTGTCCTTGCCAGCCTCATCTTTGCATCTTCCCTAGTCCATCCTTTCTGTCTGGGAAGATCTGAGAGGGAGAGGAGACTGGGATGTCTATAAGGTGCAATAAGTATCACTGAAATAAATCAGAAATGTGCTATCAGTAATCCTTTGTTCTTAGATACTTAAGATTTGTATTCTTTACTATGTAGTACACACACACACACACACACACACACACACACACACACACACACACATACACACGTGCATTTTGCATGAAAGAAGTTGGAGGAGGAGGTCTAGAGAAATCACTGAATAAAAAGCAAGATGGTTCAGAATTAGAGATAATTTCTGTTTTTCAGAAGCAAAATTTCATAAAAGTGAATTAATAAGTTAACCTTTCCCTGTATTTGTTTTTTATTAGGTTGAATTCATTTATCCCATAAACTAGATCTTTAACGAACGTAAAAGGAACACCAGCTTAGTGTACCAATGCATTATCCTCTTCTGTTTGCTACATATTTTGGTCCAACCTCAGGTCTCACTATGCTGATTGTACATGCCGTGACTTTTATTTGATGCATTCTTTGCTTCTATCTTATACGTTCTGAAATGTGCTTCAGGATACAGTTTAGAGATAGGTTGTGTTCCTTCCCTGCCTTCTCCCATCTTGGAAGACTAAAATAGAGGGAGAAGTTTTATGATGCACTAGCAGTAAAGCTCTCTACCTAGTTAAAAAATAAAATTAATTTTTACTTTAGATTTGAATCAGA